GAAGGCCACGCGGCCAGCCGAGCCTTGAGTGGTCTTTGAGGGGCAGTGGGACGGGCAGGAATGCGGAGGGGTGTTTGGTGATAAGACCAACCCTGCACAGAAAGGCTACCTGTCACCTGCCAGAGGCCACACGCGTGCGCGCACACACACAGACACACAGACACAGACACACACACACACACACATACATGCTGGTACTGAGGTTTGAACTCAGGGCCTGGACACTGTCTCCTAGCTTTTTTCATTCAAGTCTGGCACTTGAGCCACAGCTCCACGTCTGGCTTTCTTTTCTGGTTAATTGGAGATGAATCAGTCTCATGGGCTTTCCTGTCCAGGTTGGCCTTGAACCTTGATCCTCAGATCTCAGCCCGCTGAGCGGTTAGGATTTCAGGCCTGGGCCACTGGTGTCGTGCTCCACGCCACTCTTGATCACACCTTGGCTTCTGCGGGTGGCCACCCCAGTGTGTGTGTCCAAGGGGAGGGCTACAGCCCAAGTGACAGGGGTGTCCTTCAGCTGGATCCTGTACCTGGCAGGGGCTGGTAGACTCTGGGAGCTTCCTCATGAGGAACAGGGGTGCAGGGAGGGGCCCCTGCGGCCGGCCAGGGTCCTATGCAGGTCCCTGGGTGGCTGGGGTTCCTTCCATGTCCAGAGTCCCAGCTCTTCATGCAAGATGGTGCCATACAAATTCCTGGGGTGCCCTGAGGGGCTGGGGTGCTGGGTGTATGCACAGGGGTCACTTTCTTGGTCTGGGGCTGGGGATTGGACCACCCTGCTTATGGACCATTGGGGCCTGAGCCCGGCCATTACTGAGGCCAGGCCAGTCGGGGAGAGGTGATAAGTATTTGTCAGCAGAGCTGGGCGCCGGTGCTCACGCCTGTCATCCTTGCTACTCAGGAGGCTGAGATCTGAGGATCACAGTTCAAAGCCAGCCTGGGCAAGAAAGTCCGTGAGACTCTTATCTCCAATAAACAACCAGAAAACTGGAAGTGGCACTCAAGTGGTAGAGTGCTAACATTGTGCTAAAGAGCAAAGGCACAGCACCCAGGCCCAGAGTTCAAGCCCCATGACCGACAAAAACAAAAAAACAAAAAACCCAGTTGTTAGCAGATGACTGAGAGTGAGACCAGGCCTCCAGGGGAGTGGGGACACGCTATGGGGGCTGGGCGCTTACCTGACTTCCATCCGCTCCTCCTTCCAGCTGACCTGAGATCTGGGGTTGGGTGAGGCCCAGGGCTGAGCCATGCAGAGAAGATAGGTGCAAGGCTGGCCCCTCGGGCACACCAGAGCCTGGCCTGCCAGCGGCCTCGCTGCATTGCCAAAGGATGTATCTTCAGGCCACTGTGGCTTCGCACAGGCTTTGGTGCCCACTATGGGCCCTGGGAGACTGCAGACCCGCCCCAGCTTGGGCTGTGGGGGACAGGCTGTAGCCACACCTGCGGGGAATGTAGAGAATTCATTCCTGTAACGACAGCAGATCTTCCCATCCCTACCTTCCTCCTCCTCACGGCCTTGGCTCTGACCCCAGAGCCCTGGTGGAAGTCCAGCAGAGATGGGCGATGCCGGCCGGCGCCGGGCGGCCTCTGTTTGGGTTTCTGGGCTAGGGCTTCAAGGTGGCTGCGGCACTCAGAGGATGGCGTGCAAACTGGGGTGTAGGAGGGGTGCGTGTGGCACCTGTGCCCTGGAGGCCTCCGCCTGAGCCAGGCTTCCCCGCCTGACCACCTTTCAGAGGCCCGGGTGAACTGCTCCCTCCACCCCCTGCTGCAGGAAGACTCGCCCTCCTGCCCCAACCTCTACGCAAACTGGCTGGTCATCCTGCTCCTCGTCACCTTCCTCCTGGTCACCAACGTGCTGCTCATGAACCTGCTGATCGCCATGTTCAGGTACCACGCCCTGCCGCCCCTCCCCCGGCTCTTCCTGCATCCACACCTGGGAACCCCAGCTCCCACTGCCCAGGTCGGGCTGGCCCTGGCTCGGCTGCAGGGGTGCAGGCCCACAGGATGTGACCCTGGTTGCACACCCCGCAGCTACACGTTCCAGGTGGTGCAGGGCAACGCGGACATGTTCTGGAAATTCCAGCGCTACCATCTCATTGTGGAGTACCACGGGCGCCCGGCCCTGGCCCCGCCCTTCATCCTCCTCAGCCACTTGAGCCTGGTGCTCAAGAGAGTCTTCAGGAAGGCTGCCCAGCACAAGCGGGAACACCTAGGTGAGGCTGCCAGGCTGCCCGATACCCAGGCCCAGAACGGACGGACACAGGTAGAGTGTGTGTCCTTGCTGAGGCCCCTGCACGCAGCCCTGCCAATGCCTATCTGCTATGTCCTGGCTTCCACACCCCAGGCCCAGTCAGCGCCAGTGAGGCTTGCCTCTGTCCCCCGCCCTCCCAGAGAGAGACTTGCCTGACCCCCTGGACCAGAAGATCGTTACCTGGGAGGCGGTTCAGAAGGAGAACTTCCTGAGCAAGGTGGAGACAAGGAGGAGGGACAGTGAGGGGGAGCTGCTCCGGAAGACAGCCCGCAGGTACCCCAGGGAGGCCTGTGCGTGGAGAGCAGGTGTTTGGGGCTCACACCTGGATGTGTGGCAGCCTGGCCCCGCACATGGGTCTGCCCAGAAATGCAGAATTAGCCATGCTGCAGAGGCGGTGGGCACCCGGCGTAAACCTGGCTCCTCTACAGCCGTGGGGCTGGCTGGTCTTGGGGTGCAGGGTGCTGGGAGGGACCATCAACACTTTTTACAGGTTGGGGAGGGCAAGCTGCCAGGCAAGGGGTCTGAGCTGGGGAAACTGAAGCTGAACGAGGGGCGGGGCCGCACCATGGCTGGGCTACGGGGGCCCAGTAGCCCAGCCTCTTCTTGGGTGAGGCTCTGCCAAGGCCTCACCTGCCCCGAAGCTGGGGGATACACAGCATGCACTCTGCCGGCTATGGGTTCCTCCTTTCTCTCCACATGCCAAGATGCCCACTCCCAGACCTCCTTCCAGGGGCCCATCTGCCTGTGGCCCCTCCCCTCGGGTGGCGTGCCCCAGGCAGGCATGAGGCCCCTCGAAGCTAGTCTATAGCCTCACACCAGCTGTGTCGAGTCCTGGGTGCCATCAGCCCTCCATCAGCCACACAAGATAACAGGGGAAGCAGATATGAGCAGCGCACGTGGAGACCAGAGGCCTGGGCCAGTGCGGGAGGGTGGCACCCCGTGGGGAGACGGCTGCCCAGCCCCGTGGTTCCCCCCTGCTTCTCCGCAGAGTGGACTTGGTTGCCAAGTACCTTGGAGGGCTGAGAGAGCAAGAAAAGCGCATCCAATGTCTGGAGTCACAGGCAAGTTGGTGATTCCCTGAGCTAGGCCATCCAGCAGCGATACAGGGCCTGATGGTGCCATGCTCACCAGCCACACCAAAGGGCCGGCCGGCCACCGAGGGCCGTGGACAGGGCCAGGGGATGCAGGGGCCAGTGCCTGTGGGCAAGCCCTCCCAGCAAGGACGCTCATGCAGACTTTCACCAACCACATGGAAACCTGCCTAGAGGGAGGGGGGCCGAGGCAGGAGGCCAGGTGAGAATCTCATGGGAGGGGCTCATGGCCACAGCATTCCTCTGACCCCTGTAGGCCAATTACTGCACACTGCTCCTGTCTTCCATGGCCGACAAGCTGGCCCAGGGCGGCGCCCACTGGAGTAAGTATCTGTGTGGGGCGGGCAGTGGCCTCTATCCCTGGCTACTGGTCTGTGGCAGAAAGCCAGATCCAAGTGCCCGCTGCTGGCCCCTGCCTCCTGCCAAGGTGCGTGCCAGTGCCCAGCTGGGGCCAGGCCTTGGTGTTCTTCCACTCCGAGGCTCTACCTGGTCCTGGCCCTGCTGGACTGCACCCTGGCCCCGGGGGACTGGCACTGAGGAGCTGAGGAGCCCTCCCTTCCAACAGGCCCAGGTAGTGGGAGCCTGCAGACGCCTGCTAGCCAAGGACTGAGTCCTGGAGGCAGGGAGCACCCGGAGGTGGGCCAGACGCAGCGTGACTGACACTGGCTGTTCTGGGGACACACTGGCCTCCCCCTGGACCCCCACCTCTCCCGGCCCCCTCTTGTGCCTGGGGAGCACGGTGCTGTTGGGGCAGCTCCCCAGACAGGCGGACCCCATCTGGAGCCGAGCCTGACATGGGACTGGACAGGAAGGTGAAGAGGGCGGCTCCTGTTCAGACTGAGGCTGCTTGGGAGCCTGCTCCACCCTCTGCCCCATAAGACACCATTGTTTCAAACTCTAGTGGTTCTGGTTTGTCCTTTGCGATGCCCACGAGCCAGCTGGCCAGCTCTGCTCCCACAGGGAGGGCCGGGGGACCAGCCTGCCTATTAGCTTCCATCCTTGCCTCAGTGTGCACTGGCGCTCCACTTCGTTTTCCACACCACACTGACCCTGACAACTGCTGACCTAGCACAACATTAGGGGCCACACTTGCTGGGCTCACTACCCACCAAGCTCACGGTCCAGCCAGATGGGTCCTGCTTTTTCCAGGGCTGCAGACCTGGCCCAGTTGTGAGTCACGCGTCATGTACTGTCTTCTTTCCTGCACACCAGGATTACCAACCTGAATCCCCACATCCTAGCTTCTCAGCCCATGGCACCGGCAGCACCCTGAGCACAGGCCAAGTACTGTAATGTACCCCTAGGACTCCCCATGTGCCCAGCCTCCCTTTGAGGCCTGTGGTCTGCAGGAGCCAAGGCTAATGGGGTCAGGTAGGACGCCAGGGACACAGGGCAAAGCTGGGAGCCGTGTAACTACAGGCCAGTCCCCGCAGACCCATCAGTGAGGGGCTATATGTGGGGACGGAGTCATGAGTGAGCCTGGATAAGGCAGACACTGCCTGCGGAAGACGGCTGCAGACAGAGCCCCCAGGGTAAACAGACCCACACACAAAACCTGAGGAAGACCCAAAGCTTTTATTGACCCCAGACAGGGGCACTAGAGAGAAGCAGGGCTTCAGCGACTCCAGGCACCCCCCCCCCCCCCCCCCCCCGCCCCAGCCCAGAGCCCTCACAAGGACTGCTGGTGCCTGATGCCCCCTATTGGCAGCTTACCCGCTCCTTCCTGAGGAACTGCTCTCCCTCCCACTGTGGCGGTGGCTGTGCACCCAGCCATGCCAGCACCTGGTAGCACAGGTGACGGCAGTGTGGCCAGGCTGGCTGCCAGGCTCACACCCCAGCCCCTGTGCCCTCAGGGCTTCCACACCTGTTCCGGAAATGCTCCCGGCTCCGCTTCTTGCTGCCATGGAAGCCAAAGGCTGCCACCCCGGGAGGGCCTGGTGAGGACCCCGCGTGGGCATCCCCCGGTGCCACCCCTACCTCTGGCAGCCCCTGGGTGCTGGTCCACTCTTCGGCCTCAGGCCCGGGCTCTGCCAGGTGGGCCAGTTCCACAGGACCCTCGCTGCCCGCACCCAGCACGCCCTCCTTCCTCAGGACCCTCTTCCTCTCGGCTCGAACCGGCTTGGTGAAGACCACCCTGCCCTCTCCGCTGCTGGAGGGGTCCTGGTTGAAGGAGGGCAGGAAGTCTGTGGGGGCCGCCTGGGTCCGGGCGCCCAGGAAGGCCAGGGCGGCAGTCCGATTGCCCAGCTCACTGGTCTCAGCCACATCTTCCAGGCTGTACTTGGTCCAGCGCTCGGGGTGTGCCACATAGTCCGGAACAGGGGGCGCCCTCGGGGCGCCGGGGCTCCCGTGGCCTCTGCTGAGAGGCCTCGCCGGAGGCTGGCCGGGGGGCGCCAGGGGCTGCTTGAAGTCGACACTGGGGTCCGCGCTGGTCTGGGGGGCGGGGGGAGGCGCCCCGCGGGCGGCCCCCTCCAGGCCGTCGAAGATGCTGTGGCTGCGCTCGGAGAAGCCGGAGCTCATGCCGCGCAGGTGGAAGGGCCGCACGGGCGCGGGGGGCGACGGAGGCTCCGCGGGCTCTTCGGTGCCCGAGTCCTCCTGCGCCTCCCCGGGAGGTCCCTCCGGGGACAGCGCGGCCACCTCCGCGTCTCCCACAAGGCTGACGTCGGAGTCCGAGTCGCTGAGGGACACGGAGTCCGAAGGCAGGGCGTCGTCGTCCGGGCCCGGGGAGGCCGCGCCCGGGGAGGCGCCGGCCATGAGGCCGCGGGCGCGGCGGCGCGGGGGTGCGCCGGGAGGAGCGGCGTGCGGGACGGGCGCGCGGGGCCGCTGAGGGGAGAGACGGGAGCGTGAGCGCGCGGGGCTCCCGCCTCCTCCGTCCGGCGCCCCGGACCGGGACCCGCCGCCCCCCGCAGCCCTGCAGCGCCGCGCCGCGCGGGGCAGGTGCCCAGCTGAGGCCCCGAGCTCACCGTGACGCCGGGCTCCTCACCGCCGGGGCCTCGCGGGCTCGCGGCGTCCGGAACTCACCGGGCTCCGACCGCGGCCCCCGCCCACCCGCGTTCGGCCCTCTGGGAAACCGAGTTCCCGGAGCGCCCCACGCGGAGGCCCCGGCGCCCGAGAAACTACACCTCCCATCAGGCGCCGGGAGGCCTCCCGAGGCATTCTGGGACACGCGACGCGCGCGCCCGCCTCACGCGGCCTGACGTTGTCGCCCCGGGCGCCCGGAATTGACCTAGCACTGGAGGAAGGGGCGGGGCCAGGACTGTGCTCTCCCACAAAGCTCCAGGGCGTCAGCGGCGCGGGCTCGGGGGGCTCTAGCGCCGCCTGCCGGAAGTCGCGTGATAGCGTCACCACAGGCAGGAAGCGCGTCATCGCGCAGGCGGGCCGCGAACGTCCCCGGCACTTCCGGTCCCGACCGGAAGCCGGCACGCTCGCTCCGTTACGGGGGCCCGCGGGCCGCGGCGGCAGCTTCCGGACGCGGAGGCCGGGCCCTGCCCGCGGTCAGAGCCCGGCGCGCGCGGGGAGGAGCGGGGCGGGGCCCGCGGCCGGGGACCCGCGGGGCGGCCGGCCCGGCGAGCCGCCTCCCCCCCCGCCCCGGGCGCCGACCGCGCGCTCCGCACGGAGAGCCAGCGGCTCCGTGGGCGAGCGGAAGTGGGGGGTCCAGGGGCCACGCAACCTCGGGGTGCGCTGCGGCCCTCCCTCCGGCCTCCTAGTCCTGGAGTCACCTCCCTCGGCGCGGAGGAGGGCGGTCTCGCAGCGACCCCCCGCCGGACTCCCGGCCGCCGCGCCCCGCCCGCCCGCCCGTCTCTGAGCAGAGCATCCCAGTAGCTGAAGTGAGAGTGAGGTCAAGGCCGGGCTTTTACACCAGGGCAGGGACTTCGAACCGGACACCGGCACAGCACAGTCACCATCTGCTCCCCTGGGATCCAGCTGTCCACTCACTGTGGCCCACAGGCCCTCCGGGCCAGCTCTGCTTGGACAAAATCCCACACCGGGCTCTCTCAAGATCCTGGATGACACTGGTACAGGAAGAGGTCTTACATGGTCCCATTAGCATGCCTGATTTTTCCTTCTTTATTAAATGACTGTTTTAAGATGTAATTACAGTTGAAGGTGACACGTTAGAAAGGACAAGTACATTGAAGGCATATAAGAGTGCTCACAGACCCAGCTCCGAAATGGGGGGGGGGGAGGAAAGGGACAAGGATTAAAAAGATGGGAGCTGTGCAGCCCACAGGAAGGGCAGATTGGGTGCACACAGCCCCCAGCTCAGCCACAGGAGCCTCTGGGCAAGCAGCCTTGATAGGCCTAGCTCAGCAGGCAGAGCCCCCAGGAGCCCTGAAGCAGAGTCTCCAAGGCCCCGGTTAGCTCTACCCTCACAGCCACCTACATGTGACATCAGCCCCAAAGTTAACAGGAGAGTTCAGAACAAAACAAAACCTCGAAAGTGAGAAGGCTAAGTGTAGCAGAGTAATACCGGATACATTATGTACACAGGTGGTGATGGCCGAGGCAGCCTCCGGGCACTCTGGTGGCACTGTAAGGGTCCCTGTGACCGGACCCGCAGGGTCTCAGTACACAGAGCTATTCCGGATGCCACAGCACAGCACCATGCTCAGGATCATCTCGAAGATCTGTGGGGAGCAGGCAGCAGAGGTCAGCACTCCAGGTCTGAGGAGGAGCAACCCCTGGTGGCAGGGCCCCTCAAGCTTACCATGATGACAGCAACAACAATGGCGGCAATGCCGATGAGGTACAGCTTTCCCGAGAAGAGCTCGTCAATCTTGCGGTGGCAGTCGCCCTGGGGGTGGGTGGGTAGGTGGCAGGGGAGGGGGAACCCTTGGGTCAGCTTCAGGGCCCGCAGCAGCTGGGCTCTGCCCAGGGCTTATCTTCTACCCGTTTATAAATAAACCTGAGTCCCAGATACACAGCCTGGGCCACCACTGGCATCAGTACGTCCTAGAGTTGCTGGTGTGACAGACACAAAGAGCGACTGACTGCCCCCAACATCACAGCAGTCAGGAACGAGTCCAAAGTCCACCTGAGATGCCACCCTACTCGTGGTGTGGGCCCTGCTTTGCTCACCCAGCCCCCCTGGGCACAGCAGCCCTGTCACAGCCCAGTGCTGCCCACCCCACTGGGCCCTAGGCACCTCCATGATGTTGGTGAAGAAGTTGTTGCCCGTGGGACACAGGTTGTTCCTCAGCACCGAAGTGGTCAGTGTGGTCAGCGTACTTGAGCCACAGCAGTTGAGCTGTGGAGATCAAAGGAAGCTGCAAGTGAGCTCTTGGCACATAGCAAGAATAGCCCGAGCTCCAGAGTACAGGATAGAAGTGGAGGACACATACCACAGTGCCTCCCCAAATGGACTGGAGCCCCCTTCCTCCCCCTGCCTGGCAAGGCTGCTGGGACACCTGCTGAGCCCCTAGCCGGGGAGCTGAGTCACCCAGATCACCTGGCCAGGTCCCCTTCTATTCCTGAGGACTGCTCTGCAGAAGCCTTGTCCACAAAGGTGATGCCCCACCCCCAACCCCTCAGGGACTGCAGCCTGACCACACCCCCAATCCCAGCCTGAGCCCGGGGCCGCACCCCCAACCGCAGCCCCCAGCCCAGCCGCACCGTCTCGTGGAAAGTCTTCACCACAGCCTTGGCGTTATTGGCATCGTCATCCACCACAGCCTGCTGCAGAGCCTGGTCGTAAAACTGCTTCACGTCCTTGGCAATCTGGGGAGAAGTGTGGTGGCGTGCAGCCGGGGACTATCCCCCCAGAAGGGCACAGAGCCTCCCCTGTGCTTGGCCCAGTGCTGCCTCCCCCACAGGGTCCCCAGCGCACCCTGAAAACCCTAGGCTGGGCTGACTCACTGCCCACAACCCATGCAGCTTCCTGGAGCTCCAGGCTTACCTGGTCTTTGTTAACAAAGCCCCAGATACCAGCGGCCACCTCACAGGCAAAGAGGATCACGAGGCAGGTGAAGAACTGGGAACACAGAGGGGAGGGCTGTGGACAGGGCCCCAGGACAGCAAGGGGCCCTCTGCTCAGGAAAGGACCATATGACCAACAGAGCCAGGACAGGGCCTGGGGCAGGGGGAGACAGCCTACAGGTGGCAAGTCCTGGGGCTGCAGCTCTCTGGAAGGCACCAGCAGCAGTGAACCCCAACAGTGACCCACCTTCCCTAGCCCTTTCCCCTGCTCCCCACCCCCACCCCCACGCTGGCCAGCCCTGGGTAACACATCTGGGGGCCGCTGCTTCCACCAGAAGCTGGTGTGACCTTGGAGTGCCACTTAGTACTTATGGTGTCGGTGGCTATTTGTAAAGAAAGGGAAGAGTCTTCTTTGGAACTCAGCCTCGAGAGCCACACAAGATACCAACCACAGACCAAAGACTTAATTTACAAACCAAATAGGAAAACCAAAGAGAAGGTCCTGAGGTGGCCAGCTGGCCTCTGGTAGGCAGGGCCGCAGCAGAGGTTCGTGGGCTGGACCACGGCCCCTGGGTCTGTGCTGGTTCCTGCTCTGGCCACCCCCTTCCTCCAGGGCCAGCTGGAGACCCCGCCCAGGCTGGACACAGCTTACCGTCCCCAGCAGGCACTGGGACTCCTGGATGGCGCCATAGCAGCCCAGGAAGCCCACGAACATCATCACAGCCCCCACAGCAATGAGGATGTAGATGCCTGCGGAGGGAGACAGGCATGAGCTGCAGGGTATGAGACAGGCTCAGCTCTGTGCCTCAGTGTCCCCCATACCACAACAGCGCTAGGATTGAGCAGTGCCCAAATGCACAGAGAGGGCGGCCACCCGAGCTCCAGAGACAGCCAGCGTGTGGACACCGAACCCCTGGGCCATGGTGCCGAGGCTGGAAGGGCCACGCCGCCTCTGTGTACTGCACGGTGTGGGGAGGGAGGTGGCAGGCCCGTCCCTGACCCACACAGCAGCCTGCCCCGTGGGCCCCTCCTTAGGGGCCAGGTTCAGCTGTATGCGTTCCTGTGGCTCAGCTGGATATGAAGCTCCATCCTGAGGGTAGGGGGCTCCTACGGAAGAATGGGGCCACTGCAGGGTGGGGGCACCACAAGCCCAGGCAGCCTAGCCCGGCCCTGTCCCTGCATGGAGCACCCCCCCACACCCCCCAAACCTTGGGAAAGGCCACAGGGTCTCAGCAGGCCCAGCCCACCTCCCGGTCTCCAGGGTAACGCGGCAGGGCAGCCCAAGCCTCCCCGCTCAAAGCCAGGCCCATTGTCCTCTGCCTGGCCAGCCTAGGGGAGAGGGAGCCAGGGCTGGAATCCCTGCCAGGTTCTGAAATGGACTAGGCTGGGGCCTGGCCTTCTCTGGCAGGCACTGAGCATGCTGACCCAGGGAACTCTCTCACCAGGGACACCTGGCGGGTGACCCTCCAACCCGACAAGCTCAGCCTCCAGAGGTGGCGGCCTCCTGGGGTCAGGCCAGACTCTCCCAGGTGATGCTGGGGCCGGAGGGTTCCACTCCTCCTGGACATAAGAGGCCTGCACCCAACCAGGGCGCCTCAGCCCCTCCAAGGCCCAGATCTCTCCGCAGCTCCCCGGGGTGCTGGGCGAGTTGGCCAAGTCAGCCCTCTTCCCAGCACTGGACAAAGAGCCTTTTGTCAGGACCACATCTGCTCCTCACAGCCCAGCCCGGGAGCCACAGGGAGCTCAATCCAGAAGGACAACTCAGGACGGGCAGGGACTTGGTGCCAGGCCGGGGATGGCAGGCCCTGCCCAGTGGGGCAACACCTGGGGTCGTCCCAGTCCCCACGCTGAGAAGAGGCAGCTGGCTCGACTGTGCCAGAACCGGGCAGCCCATGGAGCCAGAGAGGTTCCCAATGCCACACTCCCTGGGGCCACAGAGCACGCCGCCCAAGGTGTCCAGGGCACAGGAAGGAGCCCGAAGGAGCTGTGGCCCTCCACGAGGCCCTCACCTAGCCCGTCCCCTGCAGCCAGCCTCACCAAGAGTGGAGAGCCTCCTGCTCCTGTCCCACCACAGGGGACTTAGAAGCTGCTCTTGCCATGGGGCTGTAGCCAAACTCCCTGCCCTGAAAACCCACCCCGTGCCGCCCAGCCTGGACAGGAGGGCGGCGCCCGAGGCTGCCTTCCCGGACACTGGGCCACGACACCAGCTCAGGTGTTGGCAGTTATGAGAAAGGCCCTGGTTGCTAGATTCCTCTGAATCCCGAATGCTGCTGACGTCTCAGGAGAGCACAAGGCCAGCAAGCGGTCTCCAGGACAGATTCTGGCTCAGCGGTGCCCTACCTCCCCCGGCCTGCTCCTGGGGAGCCGAGGCAGAGCTAACGGGTCTGTTGATGGGGGTGTTGGTATGGAATACCCCGCGAGTCTTACTAAAGGCGGGCGCGGCTTCCTCCTACAGTCCTGCCATGGGTCTCCAGCTTTCTGTCCAGGACCACAGGCAGGGCCAGGGCCAGGGCCAGGGCCAGAGGAACAGCAGCCCAGGGGAACTCCTGAGCCGGACAGGGAGGACGGCACCGGGCATTCCTAGCCCACACGCAGCAGCCAGGCCTGCAGCCCAAGCTGAGGGGAAAGAAAGGCCCCTTCCAGAGCCACAGGAGATGGAGGACCCACAGCAGGCCCAGCGGGGAGCCCTGGGCCAGGGGCCCCTCCTTTAAAGGGCAGAACATCTTCCAAACACTTGTAGGGCTTACAGGATGCCAGGTCCCACCCTCCACCCCGCCTCCACTGAGGGGATGAGGGAGGCTCCGTCAGCCGCAGCCTCCTAATAAGGCTGAGGTGTGGCAGCCGGAGTGGGCGGGGGAGGGGACTGTCCAGGCACTCGGCCCACCCACCCGGGAGCCTTCCCAGAAATACCCAGGTTAAAATAAGATCTCCAGAGGCTCCCGGTCCGGCTGCCATTCTGCCTGGCCTATTGCTCCAGTGGGGTCTCCACCAGCCACCCGCCAGCTCAGCACAGCTCAACCCCAGCCTAGCACTCCAAGCCAGTGGCCCAATTTGGATGCTCCATCCACCGGCCTCAGACCCTGCCTCCTCCAGATGCGGGGCCTACCGCCCCCCCACTCCTCCTAGAGACCACTCCCCACTCCTGCCCAGGCCTCAGTCCCTGCCTACTGGATGACCAGGTCAGCAGCCCCCAGCTCTGGGCTCCATCCACCCTCATACCCAAGTCACTCACCCACATAGAAGGTACTGGGTGCTGGCCGGTCTCCCAGTTCCAGGTAGAGCAGGCTGGTGGTCTGTGGGTCGTGGCGCAGCCATAAGGCCACGCCCAAAATCACGCCTCCTGCCAGCTAGAGAAAGAGCAGACTGGCGTCACCATTGAGAAGCCCATGCATCTCTTTGTGGTTCCAAATTAGGTGCAGGACACCTCATTAAGTCTGCACTCCAGATGAACAAGGAAGAGCCTTCCCCAGTCCTAAGTGTGCCAAATTCCACATGAACACATACAAAATAATTCATCTCCAGTTCTCAGCTGACTCGGCCTTTGTCTTCTAAGTGTGGCACCAGGGAAGGCCAGCCCCTCACCCCCACACCTGGTGCCTCACACCAAGACTGGGGGTGGGTGCAGGACTCTCATGGTGTGGAGGTCAAGTCTGCCAGAGAAGTGATCTGACGCACACCCCAGGGCCTGGTGGCACCCCAGATGCTGAAGGACAGACAGAACAGCAGCTGCCATCCTCAGGACAGAGGCTCCCAGATAGCGGGGTAGCAGGGCTGGGAGGGGGTTCTGCTCAAGAAGGCAAACGCGAGACAGGCTCAAAGTGAAGGGGGCCCTCAATGGCTTGTCATCTGGCAGAGAAGTGACCGCTGTGGGCTGGGAAGGTGGCTCAGTGGTAGAGTGCTGGCCTAGCATACATGAAGCCCTGGGTTCCATTCCTCAGCACCACATACACAGAAAAGGCTGGAAGTGGTGCTGTGGCTCCAGTGATAGAGTGCTAGCCTTAAGCAAAAGCAGTTTGGGGACAGTGCCCAGACCCTGAGTTCAAGCCCCAGGACTAGCAAAAAAAATAAATAAGTGACCATTGTTATCATTAGCCAAGAGGATGGGCTCTGGGAGGGGGGGGCCCTCTGGGGCACAGAAGGCAGAGGGGATGGGTCCCCTTGATTCTGCCTGCTTTCCCTCCAGGCCCCAGGAGTTAAACATGGCCCACAGTTCCTCTCTGGGGCAGCCTGCGGGGGGGGGGGGGGGGCACATGATGGGGGGTGAGGACCAGAACAATGGATCCTTTCTGGCCCCAGGTCACAGTGGAGGGCCATGTCCTCAAGCAATGAGGGAGGGGGGAGGGGCAGGCAGGAGGAACAGAGAGAGTGCTGCTGGCAGTGCCACTGGCACCTGGTCCCACAGACCTGCTGTTCCGCCCCCACACAGGGCAAAGGTCCTGCTAAGGAGCGGAGCCCACTGCCTGGCTCCCTCAGTCTTGAGCTCTGCCCTCCCCCACACCACCCCCACGGAGGCCAGGCTCTCAGGGCTTCTTCCTCCCTCCAGCCTCCGGTTCAGCTGGATAGAACTACCAGGAGCTACCAGGCTACCAGGAGCAAAGCCCACCCCGTTCTGTGCACACCCACACAGCAGGACCCACACAGCAGGACCCACACAGGGCTGCTGGTCAGGGAAATGGAAGCAGCCAGCAGCCATCTGAGGCCAGAGAAAAGCACTCGGTATCTTAGCTACAGCTCCCGCAGCAGCAAGCTGGGAAGGTAGCTCAGTGGTAGAGCACTGGCCTAGCATGTAGAAGCCCTGGGTTCGATTCCTCAGTGCCACATACACAGAAAAAGCCAGAAGTCGTGCTGTGACTCAAGTGGTAAAGTGGTAGCCTTGAACAAAAACAAAAAAACACTCAGGGACAGCATAGCATCCAGGCCCTGAGTTCAAGCCCAGGACTGACGTGGGGGGCGGGGGAAGAGCACTGGGGGCTTATACTTGACTGTCACCAATGGGTTATCAACAAGGAAAACTCAGAGTAGCCCTGGGAACCCCAGGCAGGCTGACCAGGACACAGACGAGCGATGGGTCTGAGCCAGCCTCCCCTCCCTTCCCCTGCCCGGTCTGACCTCACCCCAGTTGTCTGGGGATGGGGCTGCTCTTATGTAAGTGGCAGCCGGGTACTGGGTACCGCGGTGTGGGGAGGGATGAGGTCTACTGCTCCTGGACCCTGGGCAGCCCTCAGTGTACAGGCTGGCCCTGCTTCATGCTGGAGCCCCACAGAAAGGACAGATCCCTGTACTCATGCGCCTGTCCACCCTCAGAGGGCAGGGAGGGTCTGTGTTTAGCCCTGGGGAGGCTGGAAGTCAGCAGAAGGGCCCAGGGGGCTAGGCTAGGCCCCTCCTGAGCTGGCTGCCCTCTGGGGCTCCATGAGGAGGCTGAGAATAACCCAGTAGCCCTGGCTTCCTCTGTGGCTTTGGTCCTGGGGGTGTTCTGAAGTCACAGGACAGGAGGGGGTGGTAGAGGAAGCCCCTGCCCCTCCCTGTGGTCACAGAGGCCTGGTTGCAGACTGACTCAGCCACATAGGCTGTGGGGTCAACTGGCAGGTCAAGGTCTTCCTGTGCCTCCAAATGCCCACCTGGGAAGCAGCCCAGCAGGAGATGCTGCGATGTGCCTGGCTGGAGCTGCAGGAGAAGGAGGTCCCAGGCCCTCCCCCTGGCTGGGCAGGGACCGTCCCGGTGAGGAGTTGGGGACACATGAGAGAAGACAAGACTGCGCCCAACTCCCAAGCCTGCCATCATGGCTCTGGACAAGCCACGGCTTCCAGCATGGATCTGGGAGGGGAGCCAGCCTCCAGATAAGCCCTGGGCCCAGCCCTTCAAGCCCAGGCCTATGAACCTGACCTATCTTGCCTTCTACCAGAATGACACGGCAGCTGGGAAGAGGGGAGGGGGAGGTGTGTCTCACTGTTCCAGGGACAACCAGAACGATGGAGGGGATGCAGGAAGGCAGACACTGGACCAACCACTAGCTCTCCTGCCCCTGAACAGTCCCTCCAGGACAAGGCCAGGCCCCCAGCAAGGACCTCTTGAGCTGGACCCGCAGCAGTGAGAACACAGGAGTCCTCACAAACTCATCTAAACATCTGAAGAGTGGACTGACACAAGTAGTACTGTAACCTCCTAAGAGGCTGGAAATAAACCTACTCCTCATAATACCCGTAGGTGTACATGCACGCATTCACACATGCACACGTGCTCAACACACACACATAGCCAGAAGGGCAAGTTTCTAACGAAGGACAGGTGTCAAAACATACATGGAAGCCGGACACCTGTCGCTCACGCCTGTCATCCTAGCTCCTCAGGAGGCTGAGATCTGAGGATCATGGTTCAAAGCCAGCTGGGGCAGATAACTCCATGAGACTCTTATCTCCAGTTAACAACACAACCAGAACATGTAATTTCCAAAACTCTACACTATTGAAAAGATGAGCAACAGATAGGGCAGGCATTCAACCCAGATAGAGGGTGCTGAAGCACCGAAGGAAACTGCACCCCTGGGCATCCGGCCATGCAGCTGGGGCCCTCACCTCCCCAGCCCCACCTCCCCAGCCACCCACACTGGGTACTGGGAACAGCCCCTACATCCTGTGGGGTGGCTGACCAGGCCCAGCCAGGCCTAGCAGCCTACCTGGGGGCCAGAATCCTCCCAGTGAAGAGGAGAGGAACCCCAGGGTGGCCTGGAAACCCCTGAAAACCACAGGGTAAAGAACAAAAGAGCATGCAACCCAGACTCCATTGATGCGGGAGCAGTAGAAATGCAAATGTCCTTGAGACAGCTCAGTGACAAACAGCCCAGTGACAGGACAGCCCAGCAGCTGGTCTGGGAGGGAGGCAAGGTCTCCAAGAGCTCCATGCTCCGCCCACCAGGGACACTTGGAGGGTGGGTGGACTCACTCTCTGGGTGGTGATGGTTTCACAGGGTATAAATGTGTCAAAACTTACTCAGATGTGCGCTCTAAACGTACATTTGTGCTGTGTCCACGTCATGCAAATACATCTGTTTAATTAAAATTCCCCACATCAGAGGCGTGCACTGGAGGCAGGAGGAAGCTGTCCGCCTACTTCTAGCCCTTTCCCAGGTGGGAACCCAACATCCAGCCAGCACTAGACAGGCTGGGGCCTCGGCTTGGGAGGACACCAAAGGAAGGGACTGCAGTAACTGTGAAGAGTTTTATCTGGGGAGAATGCAGTGCTGGCAGGGACCCAGGCACGAAGGTCAAGGGCGACCAGAGCCCTGGCTGCTAGTCCTGTGAGCTGGAAGACCTCAGGCCCTTCCCACTTCCATGCTACCCAGGATGCCCAGAGACCTCGCTCCTAACAGCAGCGTGGCCACTGCTGGCTCATAAAACAGAGCAAACCGCAGATGTCTTCATTCATCCACGCAGGTCATGAGACTGCCCAGAGCTCTCCCGTGGGACACAACCCTCCACCCTCATGTCCTCAAAGACCCCTGCACCCCAGGATTCTCCTGCTGGGGGTGAGGAGGGAGGAGCGTCCAGGTACAAATTCCTGGCTTCTGCCCACGTTCAGACAAAGGAACAGGAAGTTTTCAGAACTCTATGAAAGATGTTGTTTCTTCCTCCTTCTTGAGCATAGGTAACCTCAATTCTATCATGGGGGGGAAGGAGGGCCACTGAGCACCCCGGGTCCCTGCCCAGACAGCTTATGTCTCAGAAGCAGCTGAAAGTCAGTGGGCCCAACACAGCTGCCCGCCCTGAATCAGCTGGGAGTGGGGCTCCCCAAAGTCTCTCCACTTCAGCAGACATCCCTCCCCCCACCCTACCAGGAGGGGCAGGGCTCACCCCAAGCCTGCAGCACAGTTCAGTGGTTAGCAAGGACAGCTCCCCAGTCAGTGGTCCAGGCCCTTCCTTTCCAGTGGGGGTTGTGTGGGAGGGGAAGACCAAGGGCCTGAGGTGGGACTTGCAGTCTGTGCTCACTGACTGCTGCCCTGGGTGGGTGGGCAGCTTGAAGCAGGGAGGGAGTTCCCCAGAGTGCCTGCATTGGCTAGGGAGGAGGCCAAAGGGCTGAAGGGAACAGTGGGGGTGACAAAGGCTGGAGGGTGCAGGGAGGGGCTTGGGGCCCAGCAGGCTGACCGCCCCATGTCCCACCCACCACAAGGACAGCTCCTGGCACTGGGGTGGAGGTTGGGAATGTCAGATCCTCCCCAGGGACACAGAGCCCTTCTCAGGCCCTCCCAGGAGGTGGGCTGCTGCCCCAGGACCCCATCCTGGCCTCACTCCAGAGTCCTAGACTGCTCAGGCAGGAAGGAACTTGGAGGGAAGGGCAGGAATCTTCATCTCGCCAGGAAGCACAGCGCTGCTCACAAGGCCC